AAAAATAAATGGTATTATTTCATTATTAATTGGTTATCTTTTTAATTACATTTTATTGATTTATTTTTTATTTTGCATTATGGATGTGTAGGTTTCTCCGTTGGATTAAACACAATTATTTATCAAAAAACGTACAAAATCGGCCACATTAATATTGTTTTCGTCGTTCGCAATTGAAGAAATGGAAATCAAAAGATCGGATAATCTTTGGCAAACTTCTTTGAAATCATCTTCCGCGGCTGAATTGGAAGTCGGACTATCCCTTATCGCATTAAAAATCAAGTCTTTGAACTTTTGAGTAAAACCACTTAACACATCTTCACAATATATCATTCGTGAAAAAATTCAATGAGATCAAAGTATCAATGCATAATAAAAGTCATCAGAATAGTGGTAATTACTAACCAGTTCCTTGGAACCCTGTAATCAATCGAGAAATGTCGCGTGCTATGAGAGAACATATCTTGGTGGCTTTAAATTTTGTCCCTAACTGTGACACAAACAAAAAATATTAATGGCAAGAAAGAATAATATTCGGCAAACTTAAATAAATATGAACAAATATACTTTACTTTAAATTTCGCCAAATACATTTCGATCAATTCATAAAATTTATTCACAAGTAAATAAGCTTGTTCTTGTTTTTCGTCTTTAGATTTTCTAATAATTATGTCGCGATTAAAGAGGTGTAAGTTCTAGGGGAGAAAAGCGCAATCAAGATTCCATAATAATCACAAAGCTCACTCTAATTTGAAAATAAAATACACCAGACATTCACTGTAGGTTCGCAAAAACACATCAGAATTTGTTCGGTCAATTGAAGGATCCGATAAGCCTTTCCAAAAATTCAGAAAAAAATCCTCATAGAATCTTGGATTGGAATCAATCAGCTAGTTACAATTGTTTGGCAGAAATTTATTACAAACGTGAGAAGCTTTAAACGAACTGAAAGTCACTTAATCTTTTAGGTCACAAATAACTTTTTTTTTTTGATTTCCTGGAAATTATTTCGGTAATCTCACCTCTTGGGGCAACTGACTAATTAAAGGCAAAATACATGGATATGAAATAGAAACTGTCCCATGACAAGCTGATCGAAGGAAATTATATAATTTTGGAAGCATCGACTTCTTTTTGCTGGCTATCAACCATGATTGAGGAAAATCTTTTATTCCAAGAAAAAAAAAAAAAAGAAATAATTAGATCCCCCGCGAAAAGAATTCGTTTAAAAAGATGATATTATAGAAAAAGACTTGCATTTGGTGAAGACCAATAATGAATCCCATAGCTCGGAATACACAGACATATCTTTGTCATTCAGTATCGACATCATGTACGTTGTACTTAGTGATTCTAATCGGCCTTCTACCATTTCTTTTTGCAAACAATAAAGCCAATGAATCGTAAGCATCTTTTCCACCAATATAAAGAAAACTTAATAATTAAATCATTCCAATTCATACTTGGCCACTTCTTCACCAAAACTTTTATCAAATTATAACAAGATTTACGGATAATCGAATTTTCATTGGTCAAATTTCCCCAAAATTTCGTATTATTGAAAAGATCCTCATATTGTTGAATAGATTTTGACAAGGCATCTTCATTTATCTGATCTAAGTGTACCATATCATAGCATTTTGTTAAGTCTGCATTTGTCAAAGCGATAATGAAAACGCAATCGAAATTACCGATCAAGTGTGCGAGAGTGTAATATGAACTGGCAACAACTCTTGCATACTTAGAATCCATGTCCTCCTTCGAAGTAAATCTAGGGTCACCTTTTCAGTAAGTGTATGGAATTAGAATTAGGTCAACCGAATACTTTTCTATATTAGTCGAAATAAAATTTACATACTACGTACTCAGAGTCTCGGGCACTTTGTTAATGATAATTTCATGCACAGTTGATAATATTTCTGCTTGTCCAAATATCAAAACCTCGGTATGTTTTCCAGTCGGGAAAGTAGTCTATACTTCAAATATACGCAATTCCACTTAGATTTGCAATATTATTAATTAACACTTGTCAACAAATAAAGAAATTTGAGAAAAAACCTGAAACGACTCATTAGCTATTCGAGAAACATCTTTGCTCTGATCAAACAATGATATTATCCAAATGCCAATGATCTCCTTGAGATGGGGTGCAATTCGCTTTTTAATTTTCGACACTATAAGCAAGTGACAATCAAATGTAGCAAAACGTATTCTCCGATCCACATCAATAGCAAGTTTGACAAAGAATTTTGCCTTGAATAAAAAAATTAAAATTAGTATTATATAATTCACGCAGCAAAAAAAAAAAAAAAAAGAAAAAGAAAATCGGCATCCACCCAAGAACTCATTATATTAGACAATTCACTATTATTCTCTTCTTTATCTTTTAAATATGCCCCGAGATCCTCTAAAGCTTTCAGCTTTGTGGTAGAATCTCGTTTTGACAGTCTTTTTAAAATAAGCACCACTTCCGAATCCAAGTTCGATCCGCCTATATTATCCGTCATTATGTTGGTTGAGGTAGAACTCAAAGCCGTAAATGGTGTTTCGCCCAAAAATTGTGCAAATCCTCCTAAACCACCAGTCAAAACTTGAGTTTTGCTTGCTGACATTACTTCCGCAGCCCGACTAAAAACAGAATGGTGGTGAATTAAAAAAATATATTTACAATGAATGTTCTGTTAAGTACGAACCTACTACTGGCAGGCTGGACATTTCCCTTGGTGCGAGGTTTATTTCTTGTTTTACCCATTTTCTTTACAATTAGACCTTTGCTCTGATTTTCGAGAAAAAAAAAGTTAATATCTAACGTGCGAATGCGAAGCTTTTATACACAAAATTTCGATTCACGTGACTGTCAGATGTTATTTTTTTTAAAACGCCGAGCTAGTTTATTAAATAGATCATGCTAGATAACTATCATTACTTATAATGGATTAATTTAAGCTTGACGTTACAAGATAAAGAAATAGTATAAATATTTTTATTATCAAATCTATTGATAATAATATATTATAATTTGTTTTAAGCAAATCCAGTAACTAATGATAGGTTCCTAAAATATTTAAAATATAAAATTTCACAAATCTCTTATGTCCCTTTTTGAGAAATGAAATTTATAACTTTTTTTTTTTTTTAACCCACAATCATGTCACAATGGCATGTCTTTATTGAAAAATTGAAAATAAATTTACAA